CCTGTGGGTCCTAAAACTCCCCCCTGTGGGTCCTAAAACTCCCCCTGTGGGTCCTAAAACTCCCCCCTGTGGGTCCTAAAACTCCCCCTGTGGGTCCTAAAACTCCCCCCTGTGGGTCCTAAAACTCCCCCCTGTGGGTCCTAAAACTCCCCCCTGTGGGTCGTTAAACTGACTGCTAAGAATGTTCCTGCTGTAGTTAGATATGGATAAAAACAGTTGGTCTATTAGCAATATTTGAATAATTCAAACAAAAAAACTTTGATTCATGAGTTTCTGCTACAGTTTTCTTTTTTCATTTGTGTTTATTTTGAAATTGGTCTTAAATTTAATTTCAGTTGGCATTAAAGTCTTAAAGGTAACTTGCTTTAAACTGTAGGAACCCTGCTTCCTGCTGTTTTCTGTAAACAGACTACAGAGGTTCAGGACAGAGTAACAAGTCTGTAGGTGAAGAAATGAACTCTTATTTTTAATCACTTCAGTAGAAAAAAGAACTTAATATTAGTTTCTTAATTTCTTCATTATCAGTGATTTTTTTTAAAACTTTTTTCTTTTTAAGTAAAGAGAAAATAGAAAAGAGGGAAAAACTGAAGTTGTGGTTGTTTGTTTTGAAGGTGTTGTTGGATAGTTCCAAGGACCTGCTGGCTGATTGGTTGGACAAACGGTTGGGAAGTCAGGTCACAGAGAACTCCATCTTCTCCGTCCTTCCAAAATACTGGGAGGGAGAATTCCACAAAGACATGGAAGCTCTGAATGTAAGGAAGTGCCTCACACACAATGTTTATGGTTGTTTAGGTTTCTACATCCTGCAGTCAGGTGTTCAGACTGTTGTCATTCATTTCATCACCAGCTGTGTTTCCACTGCAAATGTGATCAAAACTGTTGATATTCTGTTAATGTCGAAAAAACACACTTTTATCGAGGCTTTCCAGAGACAAGTCCCTACTTGGGAGCGGCTACGTATGCTGTGTTTTTGTGTTTCCATTGCAGTTTTGTGAAAAACAACAATTTAGATACGGCCGACAAACCACCTCATCCTAGAGCAAAAACATTTTGTCAAAAAACGTAATTTCTGACAAAATTGACGTGTTTCCATTGAGCAAATTTATTTTCGAAATTCTAATTTGCGTATTTTCATGATCAATGGAAACACAGCTGGAGACACCAAGTCTGAATATAAAGTTTGTGTGTAGTTGTGTTGGAGCCTGAATATAAAGTTTGTGTGTAATTGTGTTGGAGCCTGAATATAAAGTTTGTGTGTAGTTGTGTTGGAGCCTGAATATAAAGTTTGTGTGTAGTTGTGTTGGAGCCTGAATATTAAGTTTGTGTAGTTGTGTTGGAGCCGGGTCAGCTGGACCAGAGACAGGTGTCTCATGTTGTTCCTGATGTTTCTTCAGGTCCTTCCTGCAGATGTTCTGACCCGGGTCAGTGAGTACGTTCCAGAGATCGTGGACTTTGTGAAGAAGGTCGTTTCAAACGGTTATGGGTGAGGAACACACTGACTAACCTGTGCTGCACCTGCAGCCTCAGTGTTTGAAGGAGTGCTTCCTGCTCTGTGCAGGTATGTGTCTAACGGCTCRGTTTACTTCGACACCCAGAAGTTTGATTCCAGTCCTCGGCACTCTTACGCCAAACTGGTGCCGGAGGCTGTCGGAGACCAGAATGCACTGCAGGAGGGAGAAGGTACGCTCTCACAAGTTTGACTTTCAATAAATGGTTCTTTTGGATTTTATTTGAAAAATGARCACGAACAATGCACAGTAAAACAAACACCCAAAACCAAACAAAAACACAAAATTCTCATAATATTTAGGGGTGTATACATACTGTGTATATAATATAAGTAAATTATTTTTAAAACAGCATGGGGTTTATGAGGGGGTCCCTGTAAACGATTCACACTTTTAGGGGGGCCTCAGACCCAAAAGGTTTGAGAACCCCCGGCTTAAAGAGCAAACAGGAAGAGACTGTAACCGGGAGTTTCAAAATAAGAGTCTGGCTCTGTCATGGGTTCAGTCCGGGAATGTCTCTTTCTCGGCTCTGCAGGAGTCCTGAGCATCTCTGCAGACAGACTGAGTGAGAAAAGGTCCCAGAACGACTTTGCTCTGTGGAAAGCTTCGAAGCCTGGAGAGCCATCCTGGGAGTCTCCGTGGGGGAAGGTGAGCCTTCCTTCATGAACACATTAATCCGACTTTAGCTGAACTCTTTCTGCTTCAAACCATTAAATCAGGTCTCCTGTGTAGTTTCAGCAGCAGGGATGTTGTCTACCTCTTTGTTTTGAAGTTGAGTGGATCCACAGGACTGTGTTGTGACCTGGTTCTTGTTCTTCCAGGGCCGGCCCGGCTGGCACATCGAATGTTCGGCCATGGCCGGGTCCATCCTGGGCGAGTCCATGGACATCCACGGAGGAGGGTTTGATCTCCGATTCCCACATCAYGACAACGAGCTGGCTCAGTCTGAGGTCCTGTTCATTCAGCTGTTACAGTACTGTGCAAAAGTCTTCATCCGGTCCTTGGTTCTGTCATGGTTTGCTTCCTGAGAGACAAGTGGGTCAGAAGACTTTCAGACAGTCTGGGGAGTCTGACAGTCTGGTCCAGGAGAGTCTGGATCACTGGAGGGAAACCAGAAAGATAATCAACCTGAACCGACACAACAATGACTGAAACTCAGTTTATGCTCTAATAAAAACATTTAGCAGACAGTTCACTAAAACCTGATGAAAAATATTTCAACCTGGCAAATAATTCGATACTTTTACTGTAACATTAAACTAAAAGAAAACATRAGTCCCCTAGACTAGTAGGTGTTTATGATTAGCCAATAACAGATGAAAGAAATGTAAGAAAAGTAACAGTACAGAAGCAGTAACCTGCACCTCTGTGTTTACAGGTGAGCTGCAGTAAAACTGCAGATGTTTCCATGTTAAAAACTGACTCAAAAACAAAAATAAAACTTAAAGTTTGTGTCCGAAGCCGTAGGATGTTTTGGAAAATGAAAACGGTCTGTTTTCCCGCCACAGGCTTTCTTTGAGAACGATCACTGGGTCCGTTACTTCCTGCACACCGGTCACCTGACCATCGCCGGCTGCAAGATGTCCAAATCCCTCAAGAATTTCATCACCATAAAAGATGCTTTGGCAAAAAACACAGGTGGGTCAGCTGCTGCATGACATCAGTCTGGATGTCAAATCATTATGGTGCAGTGTGAGGGCCAACATTAAGACTACTGCACAAACACTGGTTGCTACATCCTTGTAGCAGGAAGCTATATCTGTTCCTAAACCAGCAGCTGGCCTCAGTAACATAGAGGCCGGTGCTGGCAAACGACTTTTAATTTGTGTTAGCATTAGAGAGGCTAGTGACTAGCATGGATAAGCTAGTGTTAGCATCGAAGAGGCTAGTGACTAGCACGGATAAGCTAGTGTTAGCATCGAAGAGACTAGTGACTAGCATGGATAAGCTAGCGTTAGCATCGAAGAAGCTAGTGTCTAGCATGGATAAGCTAGC